CAAGGCGATCCATGAGGGGATTTTTCAGAGTCCTCAAGCAACACAGACTTTCATCAACAGATACCGTGACGAGCTTAATGTGATCCGCCCGACAGCAAGACAAACAAATGCACCTACTGCTCCATTGGGACCGCAGCGACCAAAGGCGCCTCCGCCGGGGTATGCAAAAATCCATATTAACGCTGCAGTACGACCGGGGCGAGGTGGGTCAGCAACAGCAGTTTGCCGTGATTCAAACGGAAATTACCTAGGGAGTTCATCCCTAGTGGTGGAGGGAGTGGACGATCCGGCTTGTCTGGAAGCTCTGGCATGCAGGGAGGCAATGTGCTTGGCAGAGGATCTTCTTATCAACAACTACATTGTGGCCTCCGATTGCAAGCAAGTTGTTTGTGATATAAACTCGGGTAGTAGAGGGCAATACGGTGCCATTCTGTCCGAGATTAGTCTTCGAGCTACCCTTTTTTAATGCATTTTTTCCTTTGAGTGTCGTGCTGTAAATTATGAAGCACATAGTCTAGCTAGATTCTTTCTTAGAAGGGGACCGGGGCGTCATCTGTGGCTTGGCCACCCCCATAACCCATCTTGTATCCCACTTTCTGTGAACTTTGATTAATAAAGCTGGCTTAATCCTCAAAAAAAAAAGCTAAAAGGAGCAAAAGGATGAAGGAAAGTGGAAAGCGGAGGAGTGGCCATCCATCAATCCAGCAGCCAGCGAAAAAGAGAAGATGATTCATACCGAACGGTCAGGCGCGCGGGGCCAAACCAAACCAAACTGTTTGCCGGAACGCGGAAGAGAAGCCAGCCGGCCGGCCGGCGTCGTGCTCCTGCAGTGCAGGCACCTAATAACTGACGACGTCCATCGCACGTCCGGTTGCTGCCTTGCTGCTGGGTCGGCGTCCTCACGTGCTGCCTCTGCTCTGGATCCCCCAACCCTAACCCAACCAGCACGGACCATGGTGCGCAACGTGCTTCTGCCGGACCGGTCACCTAATTAACCGGCGGCGGCACGACAACGTAGGAGCGCCAACAATGGAAAGGAAAACAAACTGCAGTGACATTCTGCTCCTGTGACAGGATCCAACCTTCTCGGCACCATGCATCCTGTCATTCCCAAGACTCCCTTTTCTTTAGGCTTCTCCAATAAGCTAGCTCTCTTCACTGCTCAAAAACAATGTGGCCGGGCCGCAAATGTGACATTCTGCTCCTGTAATGCGCGCCGATGCTTGCGCCCGTGCTGCGCGCCGGCGTGACGCTGCTTGCTCCGGTGATGCGCATCGTCTTCTTGCTTGGTGCTGCGTTTCCGCCGCCGCCGCCGCGATCACCTTGCCCAGGCCGCGGCGGTGGCCTGCGGGAACGGCCGATCCCGATTGGATCGGGGTAGAGGATGGAATTTGTTTTTGGGAGGAAGCTTTCTTTTTTTTGGAAAAAGACTAGTCTAGCGTCGTCTTTTGTGAACCCTCACGCCACGTCATCAAATGCGGGCCTCGCATGTCATAATCACGGTAAAAATACCCAAATAGACCAATGAGTGTTTTCTGCAAAATATTTGACCGACTCCTTAATTATTACATGAGGCAAAGCTTTGCTTTCGTTTCAAAAAAAAAATTTGATCGAGAATCCGTGGTTTCTGGAAGGAAAAAATTGTAAACCGGTGTTTTCTGCAATTTACTCATTTTTTCAGTTACCTGACATTTAGGCGCCCCCCTTAATCATAACATCATTCTTATGCGTTGGTGATCTCAAACATTTACATAGTTGAACCATAGTGCTGATGGACTTGAATTATTACAGTTGATCGTCTTGAGTAATCAGTCATTGATGTGCATCAGACTTGACTCCACCAATCCCGGAGCTAGCTCCTGGACCCAAGTCTAGTTTCCGAACCACCTTGTCGAGACCCACCGCTGCTGCGTCGAGGCCACCGCCGGCTGCTGCGTTTGCCGGAGCGCGCGAGCGCAGAGCCTCATCGCCGCCGCCATGTCGCTTTCTGGTTCTACGAATACCTTTGCCTGGTTTTGTTATTCATACAGTATTGGTATTATATAGGCGACCGTGTTCGACTCCGGCACGTCCCCCTCGCTGCCGTATCCCACTCCCACGACGAAACAGATTGTGGATCAAACGACAAGTGTTTTGGCGAGCAATTGGAGTTTCCTTCCAAATTCCAATTGCTAGATTACTAGGAGTTTAGGATTTGGTATAAGGGGAAGGAACATAAATAAGCTAGCGGGTATCTGTTTCTATTTCCACTGAAAAATGCATGTTTGTGTTTCGGAGAATGATCTCGCATCAAAGGTAACAATCGCTACGGTGGCAGCCACCAGCTTATAAATAGCTGAAACGACAACGGTAAGAATGACAACAGTGAAGGCAGAACGTCAAGGGCGCGAGGTACTCCCTCCGTTCTGAATTACTTGTCTTTGATTTGTTTAGATACGGATGTATCTAGACTCATTTTAGTGCTAGATACCTTCGTATCTAGACAAATCTAAGACAAGTAATTTGGAACGAGGTAGATGGCAAGCGAACGCGAGCCGTCAGATCTTCGCTTCTCCCTTCGATCATACCATGCTTGCCTGAAGAATAAGAGAATGCCTCCTCCTGAGCGCCAACATGTCTGCATGTCATGCATCGATGACCAGAGCAGAGCTATTTACCTCTGCTGCAATGGCATCGCCTACTGCCTGCTCTGTGTTTTCGCCATAGCTAATAGTGATAGCTCTGCTTTGAGCGTAACCACCCGTTGCTCAAATGCCTCTGGCCAAAATGTTGCTTCTAGCAACCGCCGCGGGCGCACCCCTAAGCTCCCTTGGGTTTGCAGCATCTGTGACCACCATATTTACCTGCCTCTCGGAGCACATTTTGGCAGGCCATCGGCTTTGTACATAGATAATGTAACTATTATGCTGGGTGTTTGACTGTAATAAACACATAAAAGAACAGTTTATAGTCAACATATACTAAAACCAGATGGTGCCAGGGGCAGAAACTAATAATTTTTGTACAAGGCAATAGATGGTAGCTCGCCGCAAAGCTACTGGTACTGCTAAAACATATACTTGTATGTACATGAAGAATACCACAACCATTGCAAAGGGCTAAGCTGAATCATGGTGATGGTAAACTGACAACGCTGGAGTCTAGGCGCCAAAAAGGGAAAAATCAGGAGGAAATACGACAATCTCACCTTCTTTTTGAAGATGTCCAGACGAAGTAACTCAGCGACAGTCCTAAACTAAGCACCAATTGCAGTAGCACTTTGGTATGGAGCTGGGATGCTCTCGACCACACGGACTTTATCCTGCAATCCGACGACACGGAGCCCACAACTGAATTAGCTATTATCTGACAAACTGAAAGAGGAAAAACGGGTCAATCCATCAACAGCTGAACCAAGAGCAACATACTTCACATAGAATTCAGCGATCCCAAGGAGATCTTTGTTAATAAACTAGCGGCACGCAGTGCTTTCACTGAATCCCCTACAGACTACAGAGGAGGGCAAGGAACGAAGTATAAACATGTACTAGTATGGAGCAGTGACCAATGCATACCTGAAGTCTCAATGTGGTCATGACTGCGGTAACCCTAGTACAGTAGGTCTTAACCAGAATGCAAATCCGGTTTCTGTCAAAGGAGCTGATGGACAATGGATTGTTTCACTCCTGTGTTCTATGTAGCTGTGGTCCTATCAAGGTTTCAAGGAAAATCCTGGGGCAAGTTTCCTCCTGTTAGAGCTATAATATCCATGGTTCACTCACCACACAAGACCACCCTGCTCTGATAATGGCTGCAACCACAGACAAGACAACACACGATGCAATCAGTTTATACAAATCAGTGGGGTTTCAGTATAGACTTCTCTGCTAAGCTGCAAGTGCATAAACCCGCAAAAAGAATACATGTGAGTAATAAGATCAAAGAACTGCGTTCAAACTAATTCTAGAGTGCGGTAGCTCTCAGGTGAAATGCCTGCGTTGATATGTAACCATCATTGGCATGTGGGGTTCTCAGAGATGGCATCTTTAGTAGGATTAGGAATGCTTATAAAATGACATTATATATGTCTTGACTCCACATAAATTATACTAATGATATGCATAATCAATAGAAATTTGCAGAAGAACATACTGCCAGCATTTAAGTGGTAGGTGCTATTTAATACTTCCTCCGTCCGGAAATACTTGTCATCAAAATGGATAGAAAGATTTCTATCCATTTTGATGACAAGTATTTCCGGACGGAGGGAGTACATACATTAGATATGCAACAGATGAGGCATAGCTTAGTCTTCACTAAAACTCAGTTATACTAGTGATATAATGCATACTTCACCAAATATATTTGCACTTGTATCAAATAGTCACAAATGAACAGAATGATGAAAACACTTTCCTGCTTATTTATCTCACCTCCACAATCAAATGCATCATCGAACCCATAAAATTACCATTCTTCCATTGTCAGTTTGTCATAGATTCACCTACAGTCAGGAGCTGCAGCAGCTGCACATGCCCCTGAACAAGTACAATAATACAACACCAGTAATTCCTTCCTGGTACAAAGAAACCATCTCACTACACAGGCCATAGGATGTTCTCCATAGGTTAGTAACACACTTATCTCTCTCCAAGGTTTCATAAGTGAATGAATGCCATAGAATAAGCACCAAGACGACAGATAATAACATATATAAACTGAGCCATGGCTGATCACAACCAACACCGGCAAAGACAATGTGAAATATGCCATTCTCTAATATATCACAATCAACTAATAACATAACAGACAGCTAAACATTCTCTAATATACTGTATCACACATGTGACAAAACAATCCAGTAATAATTTCTCGAGCAAAACATACACCAGTAAAAATGAAAAATAATCAAAGCCATATGGTCACATAGATTTCATATTTGATATTGTCTTGTATTGCAGTTTTACCAGCACAAAACCGGGGACAATGATACAGTTTCCCTACCTAACAAAAAAGTACAACTATGTTTTCCTAGAGAGAGTTCGCTGTTTCGTGCCATGCTCCACAACTTTCTCTTCAACATGCAATCCTTTCCTCCGCCTCACAGAATTCATAAGCTTCTTAGCCAAGTTTGGCCCAATGCTTGCCCCATCTCCAAATTCTTCAATCTCCTCCTGTGACTTTGGGATGAAAAAAGGGTCCTCCTGAATAGCATCCCAGTGGCTAAGAACAAGCAGCGCACTGGCTGCACCTGATGTTAAGGTCCTGAGCTGACTAGAAAATCCAATGCTCTCGGCAACAGGCAAGTAAGCGTGCACTGTAAATACTGAAGTCCCTTCTTGCATCTCTTCTTTCAAAATCTTCGCTCGTCTCCTACCAAGAACTGCATATGTTGAACCTAGTTGCTGAGTCGGGGTGGTCAATTCACAGAAATACATGCCTTCGACAAGCCTTGGGTTGTTCTGAAGAACGGCTGCTCGGCATGCTTCTTTAACTGCAGTTATTACTTGGCCACTGAAGATGTTGTATTGATCAGATTGATGGGCAGCATCAGAGTTGTCAGCAAATATGTAAGGCTCAATGATAAATGCCAGACCCCACATTGGTTCATCACATAAAGGCCCTGCATTCGTGGCAAACTGAAATCCTGAAAGAATGCTGTTCCTTAGTGCCACAGATTCTAGATGTAACGATTCAGGAGTATCTGCTGATGATTTAGTGCTGTCAGGAGTATGGTTAGCTTCAGCATCAGATCCACTCACAAACCCCAATCTCTCAGAAAAATCTGCTCTACCACGCACAAGAATACCTTGCCTTCCATCTTCCATGGTTATCACACCATCACTTGATTCAACATCAGGCAAGAGAAGGAAGTTTGGGCCAACCTGCCAAGGACCCAAGGACCAGATCCTTTTGAGGTACCCAAGCCATGTCTTTCTACACTTCTGAAGTTTTTCCTTATCCACTTGCTCAGAAATGGCTTCCAATTCACTGTCTATGGCACTGACCATGCGCTGCCTAAGCATCGCAACAGAATCACAATCATCTTGAGAAATTTGTGGGTTTGACATTACATTCCTCTTTGCTGTTTTCCCCTCCATTATTTGACCAAGCAATTGATCACTTTCTTGGAGGACCTTGGTCAGAGCATTGGGAAGCCTTAGGACCTGAACTCTCACAGTGCATCTCCCGTTTGGAGTAGTCCTCTCAACAAATGCATGCGGAGCCTTCAAGCCTTCCAATAAGCCAGCACCTTCTCCTTCGATCGTCTCTTTAAAGGAGACCAGGGGGTCCGAAACGACCAATTTAACCTTTGCAAACCTTTCCTCCAGATCCTTTTTGCACCGCTCCAAATGAACCTCCCCAGCTGCGGCAAGGATATGTTCACCCCTGTGCGTGACAGTGTACTCAACAAATGGGTCTGCTCGGTTAAGAAGCTTGATCCCTTTAACAAGAGCTCCCAGATCCGTCGGGTTGGCGGGCTCAATTGCAACCTTAAGCATCGGAGACACCTGGAACATCATACTTGAGAAGGGCCAGCAATTCTTGGTGGATGACAATGTGGCACTCTTCAATATATGCTGCCCAAGGCCCTGAATTGCAACCACATTCCCAGCACTCACACTGGCAACTGGCCTCAAGCCCTGTCCCAGCATTTCATACAAGTATTGCAGCTCAATCTCCTGTACATGCTTCTGCACTGCATCCCCTTTCAGTGGATCGTACAATGCCGACAGCACAAAAACCTTCTGCCCTGCATGAAGAACCCCGCTGAACACTCTCGCAAATGCCATAAAACACTCCTCTGATTCACTTGCATCCTGGTGGTTCAACAACTCACCGTGCACCCCCTTCGGTGGTAACATCTTACATGGCACCGCAAACATCTTGGACACATACACCACCACCGGTGAATCTGCACCCGCGTCACAGGTCTCCACACACCTTCTCACCCTCTCTGCCTCCAAGAAAACCTCAGCGCAATCAGCAGCATCCTCTGCTGCAAGCTCCCTCTTTGGCATAAGCCTTGCAACCCTGGCCCCTTGAGCGACAACAGGGTCAGGAGTGCATTCGACCACCATTGCCATCACTGCATCTGCCAGCGGCAGCCACCGGCTCATCACAGACTGCAAAACTAACTTTGGGTCCTTGTTCTGCAGCTCCCGCTGCGGAATGTTCAATTTGAAGTTGTTAATGACCTTCTGAACTATCTCCCCGTCCTGCCCCAGTACTCCCTCATACAATTTCCATAGGGGCTTCAGAATGAACTCCACAAACATGGGCTCCCGGTCAGTACCCTCCACCGCCTTCTTTCCCACAATCATAAAATTCTTCTTACCCTTCTTATCCACCTTTTTGTCCAAGTATCGCGGCCCCCAAAACCCTCTCAGCAAAGCAGAGGCGCTGGCGCCAAGCTTGGTGGCGTACAACTCTGCGAAGTGGTGGATGCGGAAGCCCCAGCCATCGAGGGCGCAGGCGAAGACGACATTGCCCTTTTGGGGCTGGAAGGCGTCCTCCTCGTCGTCATCAGCATCGTCCGGGAGATCGTCCGGCGAGGCTGACGAGCTGGAGGACGGTTGGTCCTCGAGGGACGCGAGGACGGAGAAGTAGGAGTGCGAGCGCAGCGCGGAGTAGATGGAGTTGACGTCGGCGAGGATGCGGTGCAGGCGCGTATAGGCCTCGGCGGGGGTGAGGTGGAGCTCGGTGATGAGGCGGTCGAGCTTGTTGAGGACGAGGCAGGGGCGGAGGCGCTCGAGGAAGGCCTGGCGCAGCGCGGCGTGGGTCTGGATGTGGACGCCCTCGACGGCGTCGACGAGGATGAGCGCCGAGTCGGAGAGGCGCGCGGCGGAGGAGACCTCGGAGCAGAAGTCGATGTGGCCCGGGGAGTCGATGAGGTTGACCCGGTGCGCGGCGGGGCCGTCGCCGTAGCGGAGGAGCACGGCGGCGGACTTCATGGTGATGGCCCGGCGCTGCTCCTCGTCGAGGTAGTCCATGAAGCGGAGGCGGCCGGCGAGCCTGGGGTGGAGGAGGCCGTCGCCGCAGGAGGCCACGAGGTGGTCCGCCAGCGTGGTCTTCCCGTGGTCGACGTGCGCCAGGATGCACGTGTTGCGGACGCGCCGGGGGTCCGCCGGCAGCGCCGTGCTCTCCGCCGCCGCCATCGCGGTGGGAGGTGGTGCTAATTAACCTGGGCTAGGGGAACGTGGGGGCGGCGAGGAAGCCGGCGACGGCGACGGGTGACGCGGGTTTGGGGAGGGAGGCTGATCCGGGCGGACGGGCGGCGGCAGAGGAGCGGCGGCGGCGGCGGGGAGAAACCCTAGCGGTCGTGTCGGGACGAGGGGATTTGTCCCTGCGGGAGAGGAGGAGCGGACCGAAACGATTGTCTCCTAGTGGCAATCTGACCGTAAATACTGAATAGTTTTAGGGGCAAAGGGGTATACCGGTCGGATGCAAAGTGGCTCTGGCCCGGTCCGAAGGAACTTGGCGCTCAAGTTTGATCCACCAAACTTCTTTTTTTAGCATCAGTACAGACATAAGCGCTCATATACACGCGCATATACTCACCCCTATGAACGCACACACGCACACCCTATCCCTATGAGCACCTTCGAGAGACTGAGCCGGCATATCATCTTGAGATTTACGAAGTCACCGTAGGCGCCTCGTCGTCGACGGGAACGTCTCCTCCCACTGAAAGCGCATCCCCGGAAATCCTGAAATAAATCCAGAAATAATGCGAGCACCAGGGTTTGAACTCTGATGGGTTAGGAATACCACTGTCCACCTAACCAACTCAACCATAGGTTGATTCGGTTGATCCACCAAACTTGGCAGCAACGTAAAGGCGCTCCTATATCTCAAAAGAGACCCCTCAAGAAAAATCTCAAAAGAGAGAGAAATAAAATAAAAACCAAAGCTTGCTTACAGGAATTTTGTCGAAAAAAGATAGTAGTTTTGTAAAAGAAAAGAAATATTTGAAGTTCTTTAGTTTGTAGGAACGAATTCCTATTCCTGTGCGGAATAGGGGGCAATCTTTGACATTTCAAAGAAAAAAATAGCCACCCTAAAAAAAATAGCCTAGGTTCAATGGAACAATTCTATTTTGATGATTTTTATATTTTATACTATTGGGTACGTATAAGGCAACCATACTGTTAAGACGGGATGCATCTTGGACATATTGTGAAAATCAACTACATGCACACATACAAAAATGCACTCAAAGTCATGCCTAAAATCTGAGTGAGAGAGAGAGAGAGAGAGGGCCCTTGAATCAGCTCTTAACGCACATATTCCAAATAGCTATGAACATCTGAGGCAGCTTTCGGTCAGGTTCTGTCGGACTAGGAGAGTTTACATCGCAAACAAACTTTGTGGATACCTTGGAACCTTCTAAGAACTTCCGAGCGCTGAGCGTCCATGCATTAAGAGAGGTTGGACTTTTGATGCAAAATCTTTGTAAACCCCGAACCTTCCGGCCCTACCTGGAACTTCCCCAGAACTTCCGTCCCTACCTGAAACTTCCGACCCAATACCTGCCCTAGCTATAAATACCCCCCCTCCCTTCTTTCCCACGAAGAAGGTGACAACTCCCCTCTCTCTTGCATTCATTATACTTGCTCAAATTACTTGGAGATATCCCTCCCCTTTCACTCAAAATTTTTGGGAAGTGAAAGAGAAGTGCTCTATCTACACTTCCACAACCAAAAGTTGACCCACCCTAGTTTCCTTGGTGGGTCTTGTTATTCTTGTAGGTTAGAGACCCCTGGGCGGTAGGAGTCCCCGGTGAGAAATCAAGTTGTGATCTTCTTCAACGTTTGTGAAGGTTTGGAGGCCGCCTTGAGGGTTACCACTAGTTGTTGAGAAACACATTCATTGCGATATCTCAAGGAGAATAGGGGTGAGTCTTTATGGTAACACCCATCTCTCCAACGACGATTAGCTTCCCTCCAAGGAAGTAACATTGGGATACATCCTCGTCTCTAGAGTCTCTAGTTATCCCTAACCCCAGCTCTTTAGTTGTGGTTTATTTTCGTCACTTGACCTTGCATTTACTACATGTTGTTGCATTCATCTTATCGGTTTGCTTACCTCACTGTAGCGAGTTTATGCACACCTTTATAGTCCGTATGGCCTAAAGTTACTAATAATTAATTAAAATTTACAATTGTTGTTATTCATCCCCTCGGGTCATTTCGATCCTTTCAGCCACAAACATGTCGAAGATGCGGTTGTTCGAGGCACCCTCCACTTGGTCGCAACGTCGATGTTAACAACCAATGTGAATTAGGCAAGCGCGACAGCAAACTCGTGAAGGTGTGCGAGCACGAGAGGTGTATAAACAGATTCATTATGTAGTGAGAAGGTGCTAAATGCTAAAAATCAAAGCGATAAGGCAAAAACGAGGTGACTCTTATTGCACTTTGAAGACCTGGATGATGATTTTTATAATTTGCATGCTCACGTGACACCCCTGAAATATTTCGAGGATCTACACCACTATAATTTTTAGGATGGAGGGCTAGCGGTAATGTCATTTTGAGGTCTACATAGAAGAGTAAGATATAGTTAGACAGTGAGTTTATCGGTGTTCCTACATAGTACTCCCTCCGTTCCTAAATACTTGTCTTTCTAGTCATTTCAACAAGTGACTACATACGGAGCAAAATGAATGAATCTACATGTCTACATACATCCGTATGTAGTAGTTATTTGAAATGTCTAGAAAGACAAATATTTAAGAACGGAGGGAGTAGAATTCAAACGACCTACTAGGTGTGAATGTGTGATCGACCAGATATGCACGGTGTCACACTCGAGAATATAGATGTTCAGCAGGAAATGAAAAAAAAATCAGAATGATATGAAGTCTATATATAGATATGGAGCCCTCGCCCACAAAACACACATTCCATTCCATTTGAAACGTGTCACAAAAAGGGCAGTCGAAGGTAGCAACAGAAAGACATACTGGAGTCAACAGGCATTGGCGAACCACCAACCAAAGTCACGTTTCCGGCAAGGCAATACATCCATCCTCGACACCAACTAGAAACTTTTTTGACGACGAATAAATTGCAAACTGCTGCTATTGGACTGTAACCAAGGTGTGACTGACTGACTGTAATCGAGAACCGCCGAGACCATGTAGTAACTTGTTTCTCACTTTCGTTAATCTATCTCTTTTTTTTTTTGGTTTTATCTTATCCTCTCTATGTGTTTGTGCAGTTTTTATCTTAACCTATGATGATCACCGTACCGTACCGATCGTGGCATCTCATATGTAGGGGAGGGGAAGGGAAGGAGCTGAGCTTCAGCAGTAGGAGGGAGTGGCGAGGGCCAGGTCCGTGCCCACGGTGCTCATCCCTCCGGCCTCCAGGTTGGGCATGGCCATCCTCCTCCCCCCCTGCTGCAACAGACTAGCACCGCAGGGCGACGACGGCGAATCCTGCGCGCGCACAGCAAGCAAACACAACAATCATTGATCGATCAGCGTCAGCTTGCTGCCTTTGATTTGGCGGGAAGAAGAAGAAGAAACGAAGAGGCAAGTGTACTACTGACCATGTGGCGCAAGGTGAGGCCGGCGAAGGGGTGCAAGGCCGGGACGGTGAAGAGAGGCTGTGGCTGGAGGGGTGACCTGGGGCTGGGCAGGGCCAGCAGCTTGCCGGCGTTGGTGGTGGAGGACGCCGATGGCGGCGTGGAGAAGTAGTCCCCCGCCCCCAGCATCGCCTGCTCCTCCGCCATCACCACCTCAACTGCCGTGGCACGGCCGATGCGGGGGAGCTGGTGGTGGTCCATGCTGATGCCGCTGCTGCCTCCCCCGCTCCCGCTCATGTCCCTGCCGCCGCTGCTTGGCCACAGGAACGTGCCCTGTGGCTTGCAGATGCGGAAGCTGCTCTTCCTCGCCGTCCTCTTCTCGACGGCGGTAACATCTGAACGCTGCCTGATCTGGCTCTGGCTCTGGCTCTGCTCACCACCACCAAAGTCTAGCGCCCGCCTGCCCTCGTTCTGTCCCACAACAGCCACCTCCTCCATTCCACTACTCTTCAGCTTCTCTGCCAACAGAAATTGCTCCTGTGTAGTCAAAATGGAACACAACTATTTAGTCCAGGAACACAGATAGCCTAGGACAGAGTTCAGTAATTCTGTGCAGAGTATGCAAGAGAGGGCTCTGCTACTGTGCTACCTACCTTCAAAGACAGGAAGGAGCTAGAGAGAGAAGCCATCTGCTCCTCCAGCTTATCATTCTTTTCAACTACAAAGTCATACTTATCCTGAAAGGAAAAAGAAGAACTGTCAGAATGAACTGCAGAGCAGAATAACCAGAGAACATGTTGACTGAATAAAGACATTCTTAAGAACCTTCATGGCCTAGTTAGATAGATAGGTATCACAATGCAATGGTGGTATGCAAATAGTGGAAATTCAGTTAGCAACATGAGTGTACCTTCAGTGACCGCACCTCCTTCTTTAACTTACTGTGTTTCTGAACCACATTCTCGTAGGTGTCCTGTAATTCAACAATGCAAAGGTCATATATTTACTTGCAGCTAACAAATGCTGACCAATGTGCATATATATAGCTATATAGTTTTAAAAAGGATCAAAATGGTGATCAACTAATGCTAAATTCTCTGAAAAAACTAACACTAACATGTACATTTTGCTTAGTCTGGGATGAACTGTTAGAATTTCTGAAGGCACTTAATTACCTTCAAAGACGACACCTGCTTCTCTAGCTTTTCATTTGCCTTAACCACCTTCTGGTACTTTTCCTGAGAAACAAAACAAGCAAAGGAGTGGCTTAGATATAGTAAAGAGTAGACCAGAAACAATGAAACCAAATTCTTAATTAAAAACTAAGTATGTGCTGCTTAACACCTTGTTATACATTGTTAGTTGGGAGACCAGATTAAAGATGATCAGAAGTGCAGTTCCAAAAGGGTTATGTTCAAGAATGATTTTTTTCCTCACAATGTAGGCAGTTTCTTCACATATATGCACCTTCATAGACTGAGAAAGAACTAAAGAGGGAAGTATCTACAGGTCCCAGGTTTCCATTATACCCATAAGAAAATTCAGAAAACACATAATCTGGGCTAACACTGCATAATAACATTTGATCAGCTGAAGAAACTGCAAACTTCCTTCTTTGGGTGGTTGGGAGATGTGGGGTAAATCATGTTGTAAACTTTGTGTGTTTGATTCCGCAAGAGAACTTTGTGTGTTTGATGCAGCAATAAAACTTTGTATTTTTGAAATCACCTTTCCTCAGAAGTACAGAAAAGAGGAACAGAGGGAAATGCTTGGATAGGGAAATCGACAGGATCTTATTTTAATATGAAGGACATGCATGGTTACCTTCCATGAACTGTAAGCTCTTTCAGCCTCAGATTTCGCTTCCTTGCCCAGCTCCACCATGTTAGAACTCAGCTGCTCCATGTTCCTTGACATCACCAAGAAGGGGAACAATGTTGGAAATCAAATAATTTGCTCTACTGCAGGAGGAAACAGCGATGGTAGTCAGAAAAAATGGATACCTTTTGACATCATTGAGCTCCTCAGCGAGCTCCTCCGTCTGCCTCTTAATCAGGAGATCACCGGCAGCTGGGGACACGTCATCACCGGGCTTCCACCCGGGTGGCGGTACCCAGTACGGATCAGCCACGCCGGCCTGCCGGCGCACCTCAGCCAGCTCGGCTGGCTCCAGCCAGTACTCCATGGCGCCATCCGCGTTGTGACGGCGCCGGAACCGGTCCGTGCTGCCATCGGGCACCCTTCCGGCCATGTGCTTGAGCAGGTGGTCCAGGAGGCCGGTGTCGCCGATGCGCTTGCGGGCTTGCTCCCGCAGCGCCTGCCGCATCACCGGGGCGCCGAGGGTGGCGCCGCTGGAGCGCATGATCTCGAGCAGGCTCCTCTCCGCCGCCGCGTACCGCTCGGCCGACCACCGGTCCTTGCCGCGCCGAGGGTCGCCGTCTCTTGACTCCACGTGGCGCCTCTTCTGCTTCTTGGGGCTCTTGTATGCCTTGCTTTTCTTCTTCTTCGCCGGGTTGCCGGGCTTGTCCTTGCTTCCCTCTGCTTCTTCCCGCTTCCTCTTGGCTCTGATTGAGCTCCTCCTCCTGTCATCTTCCTGCGCCGGGCGCTGCAGCTCCTTGACGCTGGCCTCTGTTTCGTAGCCGCCGATGCTGGTCTCCTTGGCAACATCGCGATGCCGGCCAATGTACCTGACGCGGCGCCGCACGCCCCACCCGGTGCCATCGCACTTGAGGGTGGCGAGGAGGCAGGAGGTGACCGCCGGCGCCTTGGGCGGAGCCGGTGGAGCTTCAGGCGACGACAGCGCGTCTTGTGCCGTTGCTGGGCCAGATGACGCGCTGAAGTCGAAGACGCAGGGGTTGACAAGCCAGAAGCTGTCCTGGTGCATCTCGCCCTCGAGCTCCTGCTCGGCCACCCGGCGGCGCAGGATGCGCGCGGCGTGGTTGCTGCTCATGACGAAGCGCTCGTCAAGCTCTGGCCCGGAGCTGGGCACCCGGAACGAGGAGAAGAAGCTCCGCAGCGCCAGGAGGGACGGGAAGCTCACAGTGATGTCGTGGCTCGTGTACTCGCTCACCTACACACACAGCCGGAGATCACATCAGAAACAAGCCAGATCAAACACCTCGTACTCCAAGAAACAGTGACAGTGAGGCGCACTCTCACTCTCTCTAGAGCCACCAGCGTTGCACGGTGAAAAGTGACAGAAGAGAAGATAGAATTCTTACCTTAACCACGCGTATGGACTTGAGATGGATTGGAGATTTGGGGGGCAGCATGCCGTGGTCGATCTCGTAGAACCCTCCTGCTGACCAGACCAAATCACCAGGTGAAAACCAATTTCAGCAACTTGGCATGAACAGGAATTAATGGAGGATTGCACAAACGTTCCATGTCCGAGACCAGCATTGCTCACTCACCAGCATGATAGGTGGGGATGGCAGAGGTTGACAGGCTCTGCCTGCTCACGGGCGAGCTGGGCGGTTGGATCTTGGGGCTGCTATCATCCTTGCCAGTTCTGTTGTGGCCTGCAGGCCTCTTCTTGTAGTAGAACCTGGGCACCTGTGGCCTCTGCAAAAGGTTGTACAGCCAGAACAGGTGAGACAGATGCATGATTCGTGTAAATAAAGAGAAACAAGGAGAGCAGTGGGACTGAAATGGAAATGCTTTGGGGGGTGGACGTGTGTGATGGGAAGACCCAGTCATGTTAAAGAGAAACACGTTTCAACACCACATTGTACCTTCAGAATAATTTGTTTCCTGTTCTTGTTGGATAATCTAACAAATCGCAGATACTGGCTATTGTGTACTGTGTGGTTAGTCTCATCTGCTCCATATTTGGGGTTTGTGTGTAGCCAATATTTAGTCTTGGACACATTTTCAGACTTTGGACAATGACAACTGAAATCGAACTACAATACTAGTTTTAGCCATGCAAGCATCCGCAACATAAGTATTCGGGACGAATTGAGAAAACATCATTTCTAGTTGCACCAATAACAAATGGATCCAGAAAAATCAACAAAAAGTTGCTGAAAGTGGCACTAGCTGAGCAAGCTACTTTCAGTCTTTGTTTTCTCAGTGTACTCTAAAGCAGATTTAGCACTGCACTTCACAGGTGTCAGCTGTTCAAGGATCAGTTGCACCCAAAATGTACTACTGGTGCATGCATCATCAACAGACCATCATAATGACATGAGACCTCACCTTAATTAACAGCAAACAGGAGCATCTTTAATTAGCAACTACCCCTACAACTCCAGTTAGCAAACATTAATTAATGCTTTTCAACAGAATTCTGTTCCCCCGCAAAAAAAAACACAGAATTCTGTTCATTTAATTTGCAAATCACATTCCGTTTAGCATGAGGATCCGGATCAGTACCACGCACTAGTAGCCCTTCCATCTTTTCCATCCGGAATGCAATCCAGACTCCGATTCTACTTTTTAGATGCCTACTAACTTGGGCAACACGTACGTACATAAATTTCGTAAGTTAATTAATTAAGCGAGAACGCATTAACACGGAACTAACTGGGCAACTAGTGATCCATCTACCACTTCGCTGCTGATGTAACAAACTGACACCACATACACCGTGGTCGGGGGCACATGCATAAAACATCCCGTCGTATCAAACGTAACGTTAACACACACGCACACACACACGCACACACACGCGCACACACACGCAC